GGGGAGTTTGATAAATGCATCAAAGCTGGTAAATTAACCAGTGTAATCAGATTTTCCTGGTTTGCATTGAATGTTGTTAAGTGTACTTTGTTCGTCGATAAGCTAGGCAGGCATAAACAAAAGTAGGGAAGTCAACTCAGGANTCAGGAAGGTGAAATATATCCTTGAATGGGTGTCTCGAGTAAGTTGATGTACCACAAGTGTTAGGTAAAGGAAGTTGGCTTCACGTGAGTCAGCCGCCAAGTATCAGTACATTTCACTTGTGTGAGCACAAAGTTTATCAGTGTAGCTGAATACACTGTCCTTCTTCACGGCCAGTTCTGCGACTCCCCTGACTGAGGTTTTCATTCCCCATTAGCCTGTCTGGATTTTCAGAGGCCCCAGACCCTTTTGTTGGTCTTGGGTGTAGCATTTACTGTTCGGGAGATCGTTAATTCCGCACGGGATAAGTGCATTCAAATGCAATGCAAGAGCACTGGACAGCTGTTTCGTCCTGTTTGGGACTCGTTTGCGGTTATTCCTAGTCATGCTCTTACATATCATACAGTGGAAAAAGTTCTTACATAATCATAGCCATTGGCTCATTTTAAAGTCAATATTCGGAGGTAGAGGTGGAGGTTTGTCTCAACGTGTTAGGGAGCACCACCCGCGATAATTGAGTCAGGGAAAAGCCGGCTGTATGCCAAGCGCCATTGTGGGGCATCTCGTCGACACCGGCCTCAAGATCGATCCGGAGAAAGCTTTTGATGCGGTTTATCGCATCCCAATCAATCGATCGAAGGCGGCCCGAGTTTGGACACTAGCTATGGCCGAGGTGATCGCCATTCGCTTACTAGGCCCCAACCTGTGTGCCCAAAAGCGATTGGTGCAAGCGCTCCAATTGCCTTGACCGGGTGTGAAAACCAAGACAGAACATGACGTGTCACTGGACCCAAGTGGGGAAAGGTCACATCAACTAACACGTTAAACTTTCCTACACACACACACCCATTACTCTCTAACTCCGAATATTGACTTTAAAATGAGCCAATGGCTATGATTATGTAACAACTTTTTCCACTATATGATATGTAAGAGCATGACTAGGAATAACCGAAAACAATTGTTCGCTCACCGACTCGTTTCCTCAATGCTATCATGGGAATATTCAAGCTTTTACCATCAAGAGAGTCTAAAACCTATGAACAGTCAAATGGGCTAATCCAAATATGATACTCTAAATTAATTGAGCAGTCCGATCAACCTGATGACCGTCAATTATAAGAGTTTGAAGGTCCAAACCGAGTGTTCGCTATTCGATTCCATCGCTTACCATCTGTTATGTCTTTTGCTTCAGAGAATGTGCGAGGATCAGTGGCGATGGCAAGTGAAGAATCCACGTGGATATGAATGAACTGTGTCCGTGTTTTGAGGCATGGCCTACACAGAACCCACACAGTGCCTTGTTTTCATGTGATCTAAGTAAGCCCAATGAATCTGTCGGGCCCGTACACACCGATCCAGTTATGATTCCGATCTCCCCCTTTTCCTCGGGGGCCACACGGCCCCAGCTGAATAATGTGATTTACATATAGACAAATTTGTTTTCTTTTTTAACTTGCAAATTTCGATCTTGTTTGTAAAATGAAGGATTTACCAATTACTCTTGATAAAATAGTCTGTTTCAGAGTTTTCAGATTATTTTTGATATTAGTCATGTTGAATTCTTTGGTACACGTTGTCCAAAACCCCCGAGTAATTAGTTACCTTTCCCCGTCCCCGTGCCCCCCTCCCCGCTCCCACCGGTTGAACGAGGCCGGCCCTAAGTCTCTCCGGTCACTCAGACGTAGTTAAATCAACTTTTTGTGCTTCAGTTTACTGTATTGTTAGATCGGTCACCCAATAACAAGATTCCGTTCCAAGCAAGTCAACTGGAAAGCAACGAGACAATGAAAGTAGGCATCCAATAGTAGATTTTCAGTGGTTTTAGTTGAAACCTTTTTCTAGCGCAAAATAAAATAAAAATAAAGAATTCAGCACTAAGAAGGCAAGTTCAGCTGTTCCCGGGCCAACATTTGTACTAACTAATATGATTACATTGGGCACGTGAAACCTGGAACCCGCGAACCGTTCGACTGATCGACTGATGATGCATGTAAACTGTTTTCTGCTTACAGCAGTTTTCATGTATTTATCACAAATACGCAAACTTGAGTATTTCTTTCACTATCTCAGTCGTGTGACGAATGACAAGCGAAAAGTGAAATCGGTTATGTGATGCGTGTGTAAGTCTCAAATGGCATGTGCCAGACGGGAAACCCTGTTGATGTCGATCTGACGTTTCATGGAATAGTTAAACAGTTACGTAGATTGTGGCAGATTGCAACCGTCCGGCCTTGTTGTTTAGGCTCTGATTATACGTACGGAATTCTTCGATGGATGGAATCGAGCCAACAGGAGGGGATGCTGTATTTTTTACTGTCATGAATTCGAAATTGTGATGGTTGAGAGTTGTCTTGTCTTATACCGGTCAAGACATGTATTGCATACGCTTAGCGGTCGTTTACCGCCCCACGTCCCATTCGTATGTGCCGCTTTAAGGTAAATAACAAAAAGACAATGTGGAGCTCATTAGTGAATGTGGGGATGAGAACTGAGAAACTTCCTGGGTGCTAATGCATGGAGAAGACATTTTTCACGTGCTTTGCGCTTATCGACATCGTTGTCTCATATAAATCGCTGAATTTTGGAACACTTATCATTCCGAACACTTAATAGACTGACTAAATACATCGAGACCCATTGCAAATGGTAGGGGACCAAAGGTAACTTATGGAAAGTTCTGATACCCTTTTTCCACGTCCGGCGTGTCATGCCATGTTGCATCCCTGTGACGTGATTACGGTCATGGACACGAATGTACCAACCGGTCCTAAAGGCCACACTTCCCATCGTCTCCTCATTCATAACTACATATTTATTCGGTTTCACATGTTCGGCAAGTTATGTCGGACAAACGATGAGACATTTTTCACAAAGGTCTGGCTAATTATGGGATGCAAGAAAACAGTAATCAGTACGATGATGGCCTATCTCGCTGATACCACGCACTAGATAGACAACGACGCATTTAAAATCATTTACACAGTGGCCCAGAACAAGTAGAAGCATTCTCGGTAACGTCCATCGTTAACGGCGAAAGTAGTAGAAATATGAATTCTGAACCCACCACTATGCAAACAGAAGAAAACGGTTGTCGCACTCCATTTGCATCGACCCCTCCCTAACTTAGAGGCCGAACCGAACCATGATCTCGATAAAGTTGTGATGACGCAACATGGTGTGGTGACATGTCGCTCGTGAATATAAGGTCGGCTGAAATTTCCAGAAATAACTTTGATTCCACCACTCCATGTGCTCCTATAGAACTTGATCGACAATGTCGTTCTGTTCCATTTACCTTGACACCAAACAAGTTCGTTTCCATCGTGTGTATACGCACAGTTCGAATGGTAAATGCCCGAAGATGATGTTAAGAAAACAAGCTTGATTGCTGTTTTGTTATTTCGGTATTTTGATTGGAATATTCCACGCATGACTCTAATTTGTCCCATTTCAAATCACTGTATTGGGTTCACTTGCCCTAAAGTTGTGAGATACTACTCACATTTGTAAGTAGTACGCAAAATAATGCAGTCGGTGGTTTCTTTCAACGAGCAAAAATGACTAAGACCACTGAGAGTGAATTGCCGTGCTCCAAATAATAACAATGTACAGCTCCGTTTGTTACCTTGTGTGTTGCTGGAAAGTGTGATGACATGTTTTAAATGAGATATATTGTTGTTTGTGTGCCAAATTAGCGATAATCTGATGGTAATCCGCAATAAACGACCATCCTCAACCAGGATGAGGCTTGTGGAATTATAACGCTAAAACGTATTCCAACTAGTGTCACTACCACGGCTCGTATAAATGCGTCCATTACAAGTCAAGTCAAATCAAATCAGTAGTAACTCTGTGCACCCGGGAAGGTGAATTTTCAGCATTTTACATACCATACTTGTGGATGCAGATTTACAGAATTATACAAAATGAAACAGTAATCAGTGAAAATCACCATGGTCAACAAAGCAAGCGAGTAAGCAATTCTGTGGAAACTTTCTCCTCAAGTTCTTCTCAAGTAGACGTGCAAGATGTGACGAAACAGAACGACCATTGGAAGAGGTGGGTGCAGATAAAAGTTTGAACTATGAGCGTGTGGATGATGTAGATAGAGCTTTTGAAAATTAGTTGAGTGTCCGAGAGTAATTTGACAGTAAAATTTTCACATGTTTGTAGATGCCCGTTTATGATAGAGTCTGCCAGTTTATCTTTGACGATGCCACCACATTAATAGATGTGTTTTAGAGATTTCGCCATTAAGCAAATGTCTTTTATCCACGTACCGGGGAGCAGTAAAACCAAGCGGAGAGGGGGCATTCATGCATTCACAAAAGTAACAATCAACTTATGGGGAAGAGAAAGTATTCTTCATCCGAGAGAGACGTATGTCAGCATTTTAACTTTCTAACAGAATATGTTGTGATTCTTCAAGAAAGTGGGAGAGAGTAATAACTTCGGCTTCTTCAAACGACCTATTTGCGTTATGAGGTAGTCAGAGATTCTTAACTTGTGAACACCCTGCTGATTATATCATCTCCATCAGTTGACCAGATTTACGAGCTAAAATTATCGATTCTGGTTTCCTTTTTCCTTCTTTAAGTTGTTATGTTCTGTTTTCACTACTGAGGGAGGGAAAGTGTGGAAAACAAATAGTTTCTGACATCGTTGTAACTGCGTTTTTAATGAAGACGGTCCTGAAGAGGTTTAGTTACCCTTACGGCGTCTTTGCGTCATTTCATCGTGTCACGTCATTTCTCGATGGGTCTTCCCGAAAAATAATTTTAGGACCAGTCACAATGGCTAGTAAGAAAGCGCATTTGGGGAAACACACCGGGTGTTGGCAAACCATACGGTACAACTGTGATGAGAGCTCAGATCATAGCACAGCAGCTTACTCGCATCGGATGTCACGTGACTGGTCGGCCTCGCTATCGATCTCGTCAGTCTTGGCAGTCCTAATGATTGTCGATCTGTATTTCACCCGCTGACCCTATAAATCGTGTTGACACAATTGCAGTCAGTCAGTTCCATTTAACTGACCTGTGTTCTTCTCAAATCGGGGCGTGCAGTTATGACAATGGTGTCTCTTTGATCAATCAATCCAGAAGTCTTACTTCCAACTGTGACCTCAGTGGTTGATCCTTTTGATGGACAGAATTGTAGCCACCACGATTCATAAACATACTAATTGATGGCTTCCAATACAACAATTGGCGTTTTTTCGTGAAACGTTTTCTGTTGCGCCATCCCTCTACCTTCCTCAAGTGATGATGTTAATAAAATACCAAGTCACTCGAATCACCAATTTAAACTTTTTCTTTTTGGTTTTGAGGAGTACCGGGTTACCGCTATGCCGTGCCGTTTGGTTTTCGAAAGGATTAACTCAGCCAAGATTTCCTGCTTCCAGGTGGGAAAGAAGACGGTACATAATGTCTTCCCCCGGTAGTAATCGGACTTATGTATCATGCCATGTATCATGCGTGAGGAGGGGCGAAGGTGGGGTGAACCGGTAAAATTTTGATGTCTGTGGTAATCATTGACCACCGGGATTAAACTCTTCTGTTCACAAAACGCGCACGCCGAACTATTTTGACCGACTGTAGTCCGAATGCACCGCCATCCGCACCACCGGCCAAAATTGCTTGGATGATCGACTAGGCTTGCAAGAAGCACCCCATGTGGGCAGTTATTTACGATGAGTGTGTGGTCGCAAGATCTTGGCTACAAACAAAACGTGGTTGAGCAAGCCTGAAAATCAATGGGACGGAGATACACGGATGGAATGAGTGTGTGGAAATCGCGAGGTGTGGAGGAGAGTTATGTTACAGATTGAGAAGAGATTTTTGGTGTGATGGGAAAAGCGGAAACCATGACATACTGGATGAGCAGTAAGAGGCGCTGCTGGAACAGAATCATAATCTTTCACGAAAACGAACATCCTCCGAAGTAACGCAATTCTTTGTATCTTGGTTTTTAAACGAGCAAGCTGATTGCACGGACAGAAGCGCAGTGCGACACAGGATTACCGCAATGCAACAGCTTTCACACCCTCAAACGATCTCCAAGTACATTCCGTTCAGGCACCATGTTTTAGCTTCAATCAGAACAGAAAATTCTTTTACAAACTGTTGCTTCTACCGCTCAGGTGCGCCGTCTCTTTGGCATGTCTGAATCGTTAAAGGAGAGGAGAGAAAACCCTATCAGTTCAAACATAAATGACTTCAACTGATCATAACGAAAACAAAGGTAATATCTCAGATAGATGTTCGCAAGATGAGAGTTAAAGTTAGAGTTTTATTATGGAAATTACCCACAAGCTACTGCTTGTCTTGTCTCCATAGCGTATTTACACAGTTTAATCAGCTAAAAATGATAAATGTAGTCTTCAGCGAATTTTCGGTCTGTTTGGTTGTGTAGGAACCAAAGATGTGCCGAGGTTTCATCAATTCCCCGCTTGAAAGGTTCAATAGTTGGTGCAAAAACGATGTGAGATGGAAGATTGTTCCAACCGGTGAACACTTTGACTGCAAAAGATTGATGCCGGCATTCCAGTCGGCACTTTGAAATCAGTAAGACATATGTTGGACGACAACTTGGGCAGCGGTCGATACAGGTGGTTCGGGTCCTGCACTATTTGATTGATACATAACTGGTGGCAAACACGGGAAAATAGAGAAAAGAGGCTACCTTACTGATCCCGGTTCGATTTTCAGGGGAATAATATCTGTTGATTTACCAAGTTCTGTAATTGCCATAATGATTCATTTTCGTTTAAAACGTACTCACAGAAGCTCGTTTAAGGAAATGAAGCAAATGTGTATTATGTTTTCTTTTGCACAAGAAGAACAACGTTTGGATTGGGTAAATTACCTAGGTTCACTAAACGAGGGTGGTTAGGAGATTAGCGTGTCAAATAGATTACTGTTGCCAGGTGCAATACACTGTACAACTGGCAAATTGTGTTGACAGCGTATCATTGAACAACGTTTTATCGGTGATGGCTCAATCAGGGGCGATGTAGTCAAATTAAGTGAATAAATGCTGCCAGATTGTAGTAAAAGAAAAAAGGATTTAACGCAAAAGTCTTTTCCTTCAGACTGTGATAGTGTCGTTGATAACGTGTTATCCTGGAGTCAAATCAAGTCAATTATTTGCTTTATGCACTCCGACAGGTGAATGCGCAGTAGCCACATGGTAAAAGTGGAACGAATTGCTAAGCAAAATTGCACCAGATTTGTGGATAGCAAGAACAAAACAAAGCAATTCGAGATAGTTCAGAAGCGCACACTCCTCAAGGATTTCAGCCTTCAACTTGTCGTGACCACGTGAGTAATTGGGTTTGAGACTCAGCAACGTCTTCAGGACATCTTCTTGTTGAATAGTAAAGGGTTTTTTAACCGCTGAGGTCAGTGTTTGTGCTGTCAGTGGTAGGCCCCGTCTTTCTGTTTCTAGTTACTTTATTCAATGTTCTATTTAGCACCTCAACGATTATTGTTTTTCGAAAAATGACTTGAGGATTGGCCACTCAATTGCTTTATGTTGTTCATGGTCTCTCGGCAGGTTTTGTTGTGCAGACGTGTGCGAGTGTATATGCCGTTCAGTCAATGTAGCTTACCTTTGATATTAAGTGATAAAATTTTACTCCCTGAGAAGCTTTGCGTTTGTTTGTCCTTGCTTCCTTGCTTTAAAATAACTGTTACAGATGAGGAGATGAAATGTAGTCAAAGTGAATGTGTACTGTCTCTCAAGAGTAGCAAACGTTTGAATGCTGTGTTAGGTGAATACAATAGATGGACGAATTGCGGTTCTAGAACATAGTGAGATCTGTCTGGGAAACCATCGAAATGAACTTATCTAGGTTCTCTGGGTTACATATAAGTTTCCTTCGTACGGTGTCGCAACTTTTCATAAACGATATGTATTTGAACTTTCTGTGCACTTTTGGGGAAACTTTACCGAGGGAATGATCGAAAAACTGAAAAAAGTGTTGGCTGATACTGTAGAAAGAATGGCATTATTTATAAAACACATGTCCATAAGCATTTAGCCTTGTTCGGAAACTCACTATGTTTGCCAAATCCAGGGTAGTCAAAAATCTGATATCACCACAGATGATACATAGCACGAGATCAAGATAACTCATCAAAGCTATTGAAAAAGTACCTGAAAAATGAAGAATTTTCATCTAAAGGACAAGCAGGGTGAATATAAATGTTGGCTAAGACAATCGCTCGATAGCTACTTAGGTGCCTAAGCTTGCACTTTTACACGGAGGCACAAATGTAACCGGCAATTGAGTGTCACAAGCACCTAAGGCCTTGGAAACAAAGCGCTCAACCAAAACAATTCCAGAAATTCAACTTTATTGTGTCAGAAGTTTCAGGGATAGGGAGAACAAGGTGAAATCATCTTCTTTTTAAGGCAGGGTTATTAATCGGGGAACAATAGAACCAGTGTGAAAGGATGAACTGAAGAATAGATTTATGCGCAGCGGTAATTTTCCTGAGACTGTATGGGTAAAAAGAAAACCTTGAAACTTTGTATAAACGCAGCTAACGTGAGCAGACCAGGACAGATTACGACTGAGTGTGACACCGAACTATGTAACGAAATCACACTTGGGGGTCCTTTGATTATTAACTGTGGGATCGAAGAGATCACTTATCATTGACAACTTAAGGGTCGGTTTTAAGATCAAAGAGAAAATTTGTGCACTCACTAATGTTGATTACAACGGATTATGGTAAAAACCAATTGAACAGTCCATTACAGGGAGGAAAATGTCTGGACTAGGTCAAGAAAATCAAATGCTTCGACACAATCAATAAAGCTCAACCAGGTGGTACCTGCATCTTTTTCCAAGATGGATGCAGCAGAATGTACAATATTGGGGACAGCGCCACTTAAGGACAAATGGGATTTATCGGTAAATTGTAGGGGATTATGGGAAACTCACAAGGGGTATTTATCAAGCGTTAGACAAAAACACAGATGTGCAGAAAATTGGACGGTAATTTCACAATCCAGTCTTCGGACCTGGTCTAACCCAGGCTCACCTCTAGTAATAAGGGATCGTTCCGGATAAAAAAACAGTACATACTGAACAATTCAGTAACAGCCAATGCATGCTAACCGGTGCATGCTTGGAACCAATAGAGTGCTCTAATCGATCAGGACCACGAGCTTTGCTGTCATTGAGTTCCCGAAAGGCCTGGAGAACCTCGCTCGGAGAAACAGGTTCAGTTGCTTCATGGATTGCAAACGGTGGAATGGAGCTTGAGGCAGCTTGAGACAATGAACAGATGACTTAGTTTATCAGTATTGAGACCAGAGCTGATCTGTGAGACATAGTGTTTCCACAAAGCAGATCACGTCTCACGACAGCCTTAATTACCTGAAACAGTCACAAGGTACATTCTGTTCAGGTGCCTTACTTCAATTCTAATCCGAATGGTGATCCATTTCTACTTTTGCGGCTAGAGGTCATATGAGCCGTCTCTCTATACCATGACGGAGTCACTTAGTGGAGGGAGGGAGAGAGAAAGAAGGTTAGGGTGATTAGGAGGGTAGGAACAAAACGATCAAGACCACCAGTTGTAATGCACAAAGAATGATCAATACAAGTAGCAAATTGTGTTCATATAATAAACGCAACTCAGGATTGGATGGGTGTTTCAGGAGCAACATAACGTCACAAAACACATACAAGAGAATCTGATGAGCAAGCGTGGTTTGTAGTGAATAAAAGTACTACCGACCGGAACTTGACTTGAATACATTCCATCTATTCCTAGTGGAGAAATTATTTAAACACACACCAATTGGCTGTTACACCCAGTTCGGTTGACGGTGATCACTCTGGTCCACCCTCGGTTGCGAAATTTCAAAACACGTTCACTCCTGCAAATATCGAAACTGTCGACTTAGACAACTTTCCGGGAGGAAAATGATGCGAACACTTGTGAATTATTTCCGATGCACCGGCTGCCGGACATCACTGATATTTTTCCACGAGTGAGTGGAGTTATCATTTAAATAGAACTTGATGGAATTTCACCTCAGTGCAATGCTTATTGTGATGAGAATGAATCCTGTTTATCAATATTTTGCTGCAGTACCTCACGGAATGAAAAAAATAATAAATTCAAATGTTAGACCCAAAAATGCTCATAAATTTGAAAAAAGAACTGAAGAAAAGAACTGAAGAACATCATTTGATTTAGAGAATTTGACGAATTGGGGTAAAACTTGCAAAATCGTGAATATCGGCAGTTAATTGATTAAACTGCCATGATTAGCCCCAGTTCCGCAAAGCGTCAATACTATTCTCCTTTGAAGTCTACCGGATCACTAGTTGAGTGTTTATTTCAAAAACCGGTTCTTTATATCGCTTAACGGCAGGTAAACAGCGTGGAACTTATTTGTCCTCGACATCTGATTCATTATGATACAGCCAATGTGTTTAAAATATTACTTCCGTGATGCATATTTGATAGATCATAATTGCAACTGTTCCATTTGCGATCACACCGACATTTTCCAGCGTGTTTGCAGCGTAATAAGCTGAGATCATGCGCGTAGATCATATTGACCAGGAAATTGATGGAAGGCGTATGAAACACAGCCACGCAAACATTGGTCAAGGGGTTGATCGATATATCAGGCATGGACGTAAAACACATATATGGGACCTTTCTGGGCAAGGTAATTAAGAATTACCATTGTGACTGTAATTGAGATAGTGATAAGAAAATTCCAGTTTACTTGCATTAGGACTAACAAATGTCACTTAAAAGATCCGTTTGAGAAACGTTAGCACGAAATGATAATTTTTAAGGTCAGGTTTGGTAATAATCGATTTAAAACCGGTAACTAAATTAGATTCCCTCTGATGTATCTCGAATTCAAACGAGAAATGTCTCTTCGCTGTGTATCACAAGGAACTGATGATGACAAATTTTTTCCACACTCCGTTCGAAAATCTTTCTTTAATTCATCCGAACATATTCAGGCAGCTAATTTGGATTATTCAGTCCTTAGGTTTTCTAATTCACATGTGAACCAATGATGTGGCCAGCAATTCTGGCCAATCAGATTTGACCAGTCCGGTTACGCTTACTGGTCGTTCGGCTGATAATCCTTACACATACAACCTTGGCAACGTGTCCACAGCATTCGGCTGAAACCGATTTGGCTGTGCGGCCAACACTATGCCTGGAGAGGAGAAAAAAGTCGTACTGGTTACAGGTGGAACGGGATATATTGGCAGTCACACGGTATTGGAACTTTTAGAAGCCGGATACGAAGCAGTTGTTTTGGATGTTCTGTCAAATTCTGGTATCGGTGAGTGCGTGGTTTGTCAAATTCACAGGCGTTCAAAATAAAAATAAAAACTAAAATTGTGAACAATGATTCAAATCCTAAAATACTCCCATTGATGCATAACGTTTTTCCTTTGAAGTATGGGGCTATTTAACTTTATTTGAAGAATTTCTTTCCTGAAAATGCTTAAATTTCAAGTTGTTGTGTTTTCAGTTGCATCGAGCTTGTCTGGACAGAAAATACTTTGTAGGGCCGCCCCAGTTCAAGGGAACACATGTTTCAAACGGTTGTCATTGATTAGAAGCGAACTCTCTGCATCGAAATGTTCTGTATATGATCACAAATCGGTTTTACTCATTGGTTCGGACAAAAAATACACTGATGTCCCTTGGCCAGGGTGTCGATCGTTTGTAGGTCAAGGTAGATGAACGATATGGGTACACTAGGAAATTTGCTGCTTCATTAGAAAATAACGCTTGGTAGTCAACCACACTCAAGCCTCAAGCTACATTCGTGTTCGAAGGGCAGTCGGAACAAATGTTGGTTTGAGCGAAATTAATTTAGTTCTCTTCCTCCGAACAGTTGTTTAAACTGTGGCATAGACCCATGGCGAATGCGTAGAACATGTTTTCGATAAATGCATCCTCCAGGGACTACAATCAAATTGTGACATATGTGCTCTGTTCACAAAAGACCGATNNNTCACTCTTAAACGATTCCACACATATAGTGTAAACACATGTATGCGCCACGTGTATGCGAACACATAGAGTCTAAATATGAACCCAGTTTCTATTCCGTGAACAACCTAGTGGCCCATCAAGCAATCAGCTGAGCTCATCCCACACTTTGAATAAGTTTTTTCTCTCATTTAAACACTTTTAACCTTTATGCTGATCAAAACAACAAATAAGAGTCAGTGGAAGTTTTGTATTTTACAATGAAAGCAGTCCAGTGTCTGTCTAACAACCACAAACCGAACACTATTCCTGCTGTATATCTGTTTTTTTCTACTCCTTGTGTTTAATTTGCTTACTCGTTTTGATCGGACTTTCTCAATCAACTGTCGGATTTTGACCCGGGGCATAGCGAGCGAAAACGATTACCACTTCCTTCCCTTTTCACATAGCCATAGTCTACCGTCCACAATGTAAACAGTTCACGGCACCAGTTGCAGAGCGGTGAATGATGTGTGATGGGGGTAGAATAAATGGTTTGGTGTTGTTAGCCACTTAATTTGTTCACTCATTACTTAAAAAAGAAAACCGGAAGCCACATCACACCCAGCCGAGGGGGTTGGCGTAGCACAATCATAATGCACCTCTGTACGAGCAAAAAACTTACTGTCACTCGACCAGTTTCAAATGTTTTCATAATTCAATTAAAACAAAACTGAAATAGTTGATTGCTTGAAAGTGAGGACCATAGAGGAACACGCGTATACTTAGGGAAGCCGTGTTATGAGTTTCAACGCACTGCACAATCAACGGTATTGTTGAGACGGAGCTTAAGCAACCCGCCCGATGGCGCACGCCTCCGAATCAGGCCACACGCATGCTCACAACGCGTCAAACAAGCTGAGATCGATTGTAACGAATAGTATTTGTCCAATCGATCAATCGATCAATCGATACGTCATGGACACAATCTGATTGATTGGTGTGTCACTGCGCCGTTCTCATATGCGTGATTTGTTCTATAAATTTATGTATCGAAATCTAATCAAAAAATAGACAAACTGACTGTTGTCTCCACCGGTTTTCTCTCTCCGCGTTATCGGTGGGGGTTAAGCACGAGTCACTCGTATTATTCGTACGTCCAGTCCAAACACAACAGGTTCAATATGCGGTAAATGGGGGTAATAGTTGTGCCTCGGGATATTGGTGATGTAAAGTTGCACTAACGATGTAACTCAATTTGGCTGAGAAGCGTCTGTAAACAACACGTTCAGCTTGGAGAACACCAAAAATAACACAATGAGGTTACCCTCCGTTGCAGTTTCACCGAATGGCATGACTAATTGTGACTGAACTGGAGTCAAGGGTCAAATGAGAATGGCAATGTGTAGTAAACCACCATGTTCAAGACGACCTAAGTTGTTCTTTGAACTGCTCCAGGGCGTCGTCCACGCTGTAAGGCAAATTCGAATCTGTGATGTTCCCACGTATGTTATCAGTGCACATTCGACCCCACTTAGAGTATGTCATTCCAGCGTGGAGTCCATGAATGCAACGCGAGCGTAAGATTCTGGAACTTCCACAAAGAATGGTCACCAAGATAGCCAAGAGAATGCATTCCAGGACTTATGTGGAAAGACTGAAATTATTGGGGTTGTACTGCACACAATATCACTGAATTCAAGGGGACTTAATTTTGGTGTATCAAATAATGCAGAACCCAGATCACCCATGTGGTTCACTGTTCGCCTCGTCACCCAACACTAACCCGAGGGGGCACTCATTCAAACTAATGCTCCAAAAATGTCTAGTTGAATGCCGGCGACATTCATTTGATCACAGAGTGTGCAGTATTCGGAATTCTCTTCCACCACAGGTTGTTTCTGCGTCCACAACTGATTCTTTCAAGCTGAATAAAATTTTGATAAGTTTTAAATCCCAGCATCCTTAGAAGTGCACGAATCAAGGGTAATTTTTGGTACTCTTCATATTTTTATGAACCTGTAAATCGATCCATTTGTGTGAAAAACCCTATGGGATAAAAAACCCGCTGCTTTTAAGTATTTCCCGTGATAAAACTTTGATTTTGACGTTGAATTTGAGTTGTTCAGCACAGTGGTAGCACAAAGATACACCTGACTTGCGAAGGGGCTTAAGAATGTAATTCGAAAAGGACCGATGAATGTGATCATTAGATAAAAAAGAACAGAAGGGTAGCCGAAATCTAAGTTTACTGGGCTATACGATCAGCTGGATGAATTGAGCGTTGGGCATGTAGATGAGGAAGAGGGCCAGTCAAAGGAAATCATATTTATCTCACACCATCAGCCCCATGTACCAGTTAGATAAACTGAGATACAAGCGGATGTTAATCATGACAGATTCCATCGGTTCAGTATAATCTAAACTCGGTTGATGAGCCCAATAAAACCCCACACTTGATTAAGTTTACCTTGATCGAAGCACCAGATCCCCTTGTATGAATTCAGTCTGACAATTCAATACCGGTGAAGGCACACAAATCATCGTTTTAGTCCAAGCTCTCTGTCCGTATTCGTTACGGCAGAGCAGTAGTTTTTACACGGTCCACATCGTTCGCTGATGAAGTCGTGAACTCTATTCGCTTTTCCCGGTCTACTTGATGCCCAGGTTGCTCAAATGCTAATACCTTCACCCACCTTAATCCTAAGAGAAGCACTGCACACAAGTAGGAACCAGAATTTAACCTCAAAGGACAATGAAAGAACAGACAATTGTCTCACTCGGAAGCCGAAATCGCTTCAACTGGTACTTGCACGCAATTAATTCATGGTCCTTCATTTTTAAGGCGTTGCCTGTTTTGTTTTGGTCAGTGAATTTAGTGACCTTGACCGGAAATGCAATCAAAATCATTCTATCGAATTCTGCGGCTTCCGGAAAACATAATTTTCTCGGAAAAATAGTGTTCAGCGGATCCTAGAAACCATCCCAGCCCCACTAACTAACTCCCGGGAAGTTTGATGGGTCACCATCTAAGCGTTTCGGTTTACACGTATTTTATTTTTTATCTTGTTCAACGTGATTATCACCATAACTTCTGCAGTTCAAGTTATTCGAATATCATTTCAAGATGTTTGGGCCTCATTTCAAGCTGCTAGTTGACCTCCTCGGCACTGACAGTCGCATGTACTGTTCAAATTTCCTAGTGATGTTCTACTGACTATTAGGCGGCACAGATTTCTGTATCTCCCGCCTAAATGGGGGACTGTCAAATGTTCCTTGGTCATACACCCACAACCACATAGCCACCCACAGCCACATCCCCATGATGTACCTTAATTATTTACCTTCCCAGTACGCGTACGCGTCTCTCTCTCTGTGTATGTATCATATCGAGCCACGCTGCGTTGATACCAATGGATCATGCGCGATCAACGTTTGAGCCATTACTTACCTCCGTAGCATGATGCTGCCATAGATGCAAAGCAGATGACATTGCTAAACATGTAGAACTTGTATTATTCATGCTCGGGGTTCCCTGAGTCACTTATTTTCTCTACTGCATATAGAACTCATCAAACCGAGCATTTTAGTACATCGCCCCCTTAGCGCACATCTAGGACGAAGGAAAATATGTGGAACGTGAATCCAGTTGCTAAGTCGTTGTTTGTTCCCAGCGGTTGAACTGTACTAAGCAAACCTGTTATTTATCATTAATACTATTTTTTGTCGTACGCTCTTAGAATCCATCAAACGGGTGGAGAAGATGTGCAACAAAAAAATACCGTTTGAGAAAGTCAATTTGGTGGACTGTGCGGCTGTGGACAAAGTATTCTCAAAGGTGAGTTTGTGCAGTGAAGTATGACAGTCATCCGAATCACTGTTTGTAACCTCGTGATCAGATGTGGGGTTGAGTAATCAAAAATAGTTCAGTTTACCCTCACCCCCACCAGAGATAGGGATTATCGGCCAGTCAGCAAGACAAAATCTATCACAGGGCGTTTCGGAGATAACCTTATTTATTCAACCCGGCGCACTTGAAGGAATCTGTGACTAGCTGATCCAAACGGCCTGCATTTTAATGAACGAAACGTTGCACCACGTATGACTCAAGTTTCGGAGCTGTTCATCACGCAAGGAAAGTCAAGTTTCGCTCACTTACGAAGTATTCGCCTCCCTTCCTCGTTTGACTCCAAGAATATTTATTGAAAAACATTTTCAGCCAGCCACACATAGTATCTAGAAGCCTATTTGAGGATCTTTTGCAAGCTAGATTGGTTGTTCTAAAACCAAACGGACGCTGAATCACTTCAGTCGAAATGAGCATTGTCAAAACATTTCCAGTACAAGTGACCTGAATTCACCAATCGAGCAACATTGAGTGATAGGCAGCTGACCTTTTCAGGATTAAAGCTGTAACTTTGCTCCCGTTCAAGAATAGCACGTATCTAATATGACCGATGAGCGAGTGAATGGAATCGTTGAACGACCTCCAAGGCATGTGTTTACCATTTGGCAAGAGGGTTGTTACAATACATCTTTCGACGGACGAGACAAATATAACTCAACCTTAGACTGTGAATGTTCGGCTTAGTTCATTCAATTTTTCACAGGAATCAGGTACGGTTGATGATTTTGGATGTGCAGTTGAACGGAATGGAAATGCTTGTGATGATTGACAAATTGATCAAGCCATTCGCACAAGGTGGTGACTGTCAACCATGTGGCTTAGGGGTTCCGGTTTTTGAAGTCCCAACCCGGAAAATTTTCGGTTCGAGTCCTGACAGGCACACTAAAGTACGCACTGCTGACGAGTCCCAAAAAGGGACGAAACAACTGTCCAGCGCCCTTTGTCAGTTAAGCCGAGCATTTCCGTAACGCAACCCAGTTTAGCGTGTAGTGAAACAGACCGGGCACATGAGTGCTCAATGTTCCCAATTCTTAGCACAGACGACAGTTGAAGATGTGTCCGGAGTTGGAGAGTATGCGTCAGATGCTTAATCAGGGAGCCCCGAATCACTGACTGTCCCGTGAAAGGCTTTTGCCAAATTCCAGAATGTCAGCTCAGATCTGGTACACTACTACATACTCTCAGTAACCAGACGAGTCATGTATCAGAAGTAAAATTTTACTGCCACGAATATCTCCATTAAAGAAGATACTCTCCCCGATTGATTCCAGTTTGCCTTATTGGTCTTGGTATTAGAATTGTAACATTGAATGACAACGACCTCAGCGAACCGTGATAAACGATGGGGGTAACTGTTCCCCCTCGCAGTAACTATATCATCCGCCCCTCTACCCGATCCTGTCCGACGTCACTACCCTTGATCTGCACATTGTTTGCCTTCTCTTTTCGTCATGTGTGTTTGTTCGTTCCAAAAAAATCACTCCTTCAACCTAAACGAGATCTGAATGTGTGCAGAGCTGATGAGATTACCCTAAACTAGTTAAGTTCAGTCCATCCTGTGATAATGATGCTTTCGCTTACTCTCATGAAAATGTTAAACGGAACTATTTACACAAAAAATCATCGATATTCAAGGATCAGCCGGAGCAGGTGGAATGTCATGACTGGTTCTATATCAAAGTGATAAGTTACGGGTGACATTTTCGGTCGGTGTAAAATGTAACTTTTCTTGGGGAATTGAACAAATCACTTGATTGTTCAAATTGATATTTGACAGAGTGAACTGTTCTATTGAAACTGCGAAGAGTTCAGTAGCCTCTGTGTGATTCTAACAGACGCACAATTTCAACCTGACAATTTAATCTGACAAAGAAGAATCTGAACAACTAAAATAGTTTTAGAAGTTCATCCGGTAGACTCCGGTGAATGGTAAGAAAAAACAAGTCGTGGTAGCCAGTTTACATGCTACATGGTGGACGCCATATGCCTCCTTCAATGGGATGAACGATTCAAATTTGAAAAGATCAATGCCATTGATGTGGCCTCTCATAGTGTGAACTGTACGTGGGTTCTAACGTGGGTTCTAATCCCACCGAGGCTACTCACCCAATTAATTCAAAATTCCCTCACACATATCTCATTGCTTTTCCCGAATTTTGGTAGATCAAATGTTTCC